CTTAATTACGTTTAGAGACAAAACTCTCATTGAACAAATTGGTGTAACATCAGAATCTTTTTTATTAGGAGTATCTGAAAAGTGTGGGAATAAGCAAGTTAGGTTTTGACCATTTTGGTCTGAAATTAATAGGGTATGTTTGTCACTCTGGCTTGGCATTGGGTATTCTGTTTACAAGGAACTATCTTTTCCACATCAACATTGGCAAAATTTTAACCCTTCTCAGATGTTTACGCAAATGGAAGCCAATTCTAATTTAATAATTGCTGCGGTCATACATATATTAGAGCTGTGTACAGATTTTAAAGAAATGAAATGGGGTATCGATTTTTTGCTCAGATAGTGAGGTTCAAAGTAATAAGGGTGTGATAATAAAGTGTGCATGTACAATTAACCAAGTGACAAGGCGTTCATGGAAAGGTTGTGACTGTTAAGGTCTTGACAGCATGTATACAGACGATAGATGTTAGCTGTTCCATTACATGGAAAATATTGGATTGGCAATAAAGCATTATGTTAGCTGATTTTATTGTTCAGTGCTCCTGGCTGGCTTAGTCATGAAAGTTACTCCAATTGATGGCTGTTCTGCTTATGTCCTGAGGTCAGAGGGGGCGTGCCCAGATTTTTGTGTTGAAATTATAACCAGAGTCTTTCATTTGCTAGTGTACTGTGTTCATTGTGTTGTCCATAAGGAGAGAGGTTGCATGTCTTTTCACAGATATTTTTTCGCCCTTTTTTCTGAATTTTCTGAATCTGTCCTTGAAAACTGACACTGGAATGAGTTAACATTCTGTAGAAATAAAATGCAAAAAATAGAAAAAATGATTCAAATATGTAAATAATTGTGGGAAATAAGCTTCATGTAGCCCCTAACACAGTTACTCTCACAGTCAATGGTACAATTTTTTTTAAAATTATTCTTATTGTTATTGTTAATTTACAAACACAATATACTTTATTATTAGGAAAAACTAAACAAAATAAAGAGGAAAATAGTAATATTACAGCACAATACTTACTTACAGTACAGTATGATAGTTGAGACTACTTACATTGTACCTTGTTTAGTTTACATAGCTAAAACAATACAGTTTGTAAATGTCCAGTTTTTTGTTTTCTTTTAAAGTTTCAAACAAAAGGCAGTTCTACTAACGCTGAACTTGCTACATGTACAGTATGATAAGCATTTTACTGACCAAGAAAAACATGAACACTGTTTACAGTACATCGTTTACATGTACTTAGTGAATGAAAAAAACAAATAAT